TCTCGTCATCGGCAACCTGGGACACGTAGACATCGAGTACGAGAAACCAATACATCTAGACACTTGAAACTACGGAGTGCGCTGTTTAAATCTCGTCATCGGCGACCTGGGACATGTAGGCATCGAATACGAGGAATTATAATTCCTACGAGAGTTCACGAATTAAAATTACGTACATAATAAAAATTCGGGAAATAAAATTATGTACATAATAAAAATTCCAGAATAAAATTATGTACTTAATAAAAATTCGGAAATAAAAATTATGTACATAATTTTAATTCCTGAAAAATTTTTGTTATAACATAAAATAAATTCAGAATTAATATTTTGCCTAGACATAATTTTATTTCTGCATTTTTAATCATATGATAGCTTAATAATAATTCGATGAATTATAAATATGTCTAGTCATAATTATAATGTCTTTTCTTTTAGTATCAATTTAATGTGGTAGAATTTTTATGATAGTATTAAATAGCAAAACGGCGTGTCATAAGAATTTAAGCAGGCATTACGCCTTATTTCTTTATCACAATTTCAAACCACTAAAAATAGTAATTATTCTACTGTTGATGCAGATCATCTTATACAATACTGCAAAGAAATTAAACAGTTGGAACGTACAAATATCTCTGGAGACGTACAATGTCTCGAGAGTATTGAAAATGATGACATCCATAGGATATCGTGTGCTGTCTGGGATGGATTTGAAATAGCCGCGTCATGGAGCCAAAATGGCGGACGATTGCGGTACTTTATATATCTAGTGACTTTAACGGGACCCACACGTACACGCACCGGCGGCTATGTAGTGTGTGGAAGCAGACGAGACCGGCAACAGCGCACAAATACATGCACGATTTTAACTCTCCCCACCACGCTCCACCCTGCAATCTCTCCTCCTCCTCAATTCTAAGCCAATAGCCATCGGGTACCTTCAGATTGCAGTGCCATCTATTGATACCTAAAGATACAACCATCGGGGATCGGTTTTGGCCGCGTGTCCCGAACATACAGTTCGGTCTCCTTATCTCTATTCTTCATGGTTGAGCCTCCTTATCTCTATTCTTCATGGTTTTTTCCCACCACGGTGTATCTCGCGCGTCGCTCCACCTCCCGCTCATCGATCGATTTTTTTAAATGCCTTCCGAGTCCGGCCTACCGTCTCCTGCATCCTCATTCGCTCAAACGTGTAAATTTATTACTCGATAACTATTGTTATTTTGTACTGCGGTACATGATATTTCTCCTTAGTTTAACCCAATCTATTTTCAAGGTAGCTACTTTTGCATCAGACACCCTGCATGTATATGTCTATGACGATAACAGGCAAAACGCCGGGATGGCCGCTCTCAGGTTTCTCTCTGATTGCACTATAAACGTCTTTATACGAACACAAACAATTCTGTATAAAAACATTATTTAATTTATCTATTGACGCTAAGTATACGGTGGAAAAATAATTAATTAATTACAAACAAACGAATGAATCACAAACCTTTTTAATTGCACTACAAACGTCTACATACGAAATAAAAACGATTGCATATAGGAGTTATTTAAAAATACGTTCTATCGGCGTCAAGTATATACGAATTGAGACGTCGCCCTCATGGGACGTCAACCTTGAGGTTTAAATCTCCATTGTAGATGGGCACTTGGATTTCAGTGTTTGTCGATAGATTTTGGAACGCATTTTTCATTGCACGAGGTCTCGAGAATCTTCGTCTATCAGCTACTTGTTTTTCTTTAACTAAAATTGTGGGACAGAATTCTGTATTAAATATTGAATTTCTTACAAAAAAAACTATCAGGTACATAATCTTAATCTTTTGTTATTCTATTTTCCGTTAGTATAATTTTATAATAATAAATGATAACATAATTTTAACCTCAAATTTTCAACTGTAAAGCGTGGTCTACAATGGCAGTAGGAGTAGTGGATTAAGGCTGTAAGACGTCGGAGTAAGCTCGTGTTTCCAGTGTAGTAGGCGTAGAGTAAGGCTGTAAGCAAAATGGTTCAATTCCATTTCGTACGACCTACTCCCTTACTCTCAGCCACTGATAATCAGTTCACGAAATAGGTTAAAGTTGAAACCCTGATCTCGTTTGCGCCTGTTCACAGGCCGAACCCACCACCTCCGACCGATAGATCTTTTCGTTTGCATAATACACCATTGAAGAGTCAAGAGCTGACTCCATAATAATATAAATAACACAAATCCAATTCTTCGCACATTCATATTCACCAACAACGGTAACATTTGTGTAATAACATTGGTTAACACTGATTAGCTCATTATAATCCTTACTCTACACCATTATAGACACTCGGGCGTAAAGGGACCTTAATCCTACAGCCTATGTCTAACGCCTACTTCTTTAATCCACTACTCCTACTGCCATTGTAGACCACGCTTAAAGGTTCGTCTACATGACAAGGCGTAAGGCGAGGTGCAAGAGCGCAGACACAGGCGCAAGAGGATTGTTCCCGATCGTAGGGTCGTGGAGCAGCGGCGCAAGCAAAATAAAATAATTTTATATCCAACGCCTGCACTCTTGCGCCGTGCCTTAAGTCTAATCTACAATGTGCTTTCTGCATCTAGAAACATTCTATTTTATATAAACAGATCAAAACGCTCAACAAATCTGTCAACAATGTACGATTATACAATGTATAATATACAATTTATCAACTTGCATAAATTTTGTAAACGTATACGTTAGATACAAAATAGAATGTTTCTAGACGCAGGGAGCATATTGTAGATTAGGCTTTACGATTTGTCGTGTAGACGAGGCTTAAAACTTCATGTAATCTTCACAATTGTAACATGTAACACACTCGAAGGCAGAATCAAAGACACGTTAGATCCACGTCAGGAGTAATCTCACTATAAAGAATATTATCTTTTCAAGAATATCTTTTTGCCTTTGTGGCTTCTATGTTACTTTATCAATTTATTAAAATGTTGTATTTACAAAGGAACGATATAATGTTATAGTCAAATTTGTTTCTTTGAGTTATATTTTGTACATGATATAAATTATATTTATATTTTGAAGAAAATTCTTGAATGAAAAATAAAAATTGTAAGAAAACAGCTAAAAAGAAACTTGTCGATATACAGGATCAAACAAGCACTCTAGAAAATTATAATTGAAATATATTTTATTATTTTATATACATATAACAAAATATTGTATATTTCGATTGCAAACTAATGTTATTTTTCATTTTGATGTTAAAATGACAATAAAGTTACAAATAATTAACATACTGAGATATGTATGAGGTTTGTTTCTATATACAAATTTATTTGAAATTGCAAAATGCATTAAAAGTTACATTAATAAACATATAGATATATGGAGTTGATTTGTAATTATAAATTAATTTGTGAATTAAATCAAAGTGTGTCACTTATTATGTAGAGCTAATTAACTTATAAATTAGCTATTAAACTTTCAAAATTTATTATATTATTCTTTAATTTCCTTCTTTATGATTTTGGTGAATTATTAAAATATATAGAAAATAATGTTTTGTTACTACTGCTGTATTATTTATTATTACTAAATTAAGAATTGATATCTAATGAGATAGTTATTATGGTCAGTTGTTTGTATTGTTCTACAGTGTATGATCCTGTATATGGCAATTGGAAGAGTCTACAATATTGTACGGCAATCTAGCTGCTTGAATGACCAGTACAGCTTTTGTACAACTACTATGACTTCCTTGCTGGTTCCTCCAGCGTCAGTCCGTGGGATGACATGCTTGGATCGTGATGCATTTACAACAGTTGCAACTGTATTGACATTAAAGTTACATGGCATTACTATCTCAAAAAATATACATGTGTTAAAAAAGTATTTGTTAAAAATGTGTAATTTTAAATCAGTGCAAAAGATAAACGACGGAGCCATTGTTTTTCTAAATCCTGATATTGTCACAAAATTTGAAGATATTACTGAAAATGATAGAAAACTACTAGCAGATCAATATGAATATTTTAGTACAATGAATATTACGATGAAGTATGATAATTATCGTCGTGATGTGATATTAAAATCAATCCTTCCGGAAGATATTGAAGTTCCTACGGCATACAGTTTAGTAGGACATATTGTGCAGTTGAATTTACGTGATGTACACTTGCCATACAAATCCATTATTGGACAAGTATTTCTTGATAAGACTGCAAGTGCACAAACGGTAGTAAATAAAATTAATACAATAGATACATCGTTCCGATATTTTGCTATGGAAATCCTGGCTGGTGAAAGAAATACAATAACAGTTGCAAAAGAACATGGTTGTACATATCAGTTTGACTTTGCACAAGTTTACTGGAATCCACGACTGTCTACTGAACATGCACGAATGATAACTTTTATGTCACAAGGTGATGTTCTATATGACGTATTTGCAGGAGTGGGACCCTTTGCGATTCCTGCTGCACGTAAAAAGATCCAAGTGTTTGCTAATGATTTAAATCCTGAATCTTACAAATGGCTTAAAAAAAACGCTGCCGTTAACAAGTTAAAAGATAATTTTAAAGCTTTTAACATGGATGGTAGAGAGTTTTTGAGAAAAGTTGTTAAAAATGATATTTTGGTCAGACGGGCTCAAGATTTATCTGGTTCTGAACATATAATAATGAATTTACCCGCATCAGCTATTGAATTTTTGGATATACTACCTGATTGGTTTACTCAAGAAGAATTGAAAAAGGTTTATCTTAAATCACCTACGTTTCATATATATTGCTTTGTGAAAGCAAATAAAGGAGATGATGTTTGCATGCTTGGAAAATTATTGGTTGAGCAACAACTTGGTTATACATTATCTACTGATTCTATTGTCAGTATACACGATATTAGGGATGTTTCACCGAATAAACAAATGGTTCGAGTATCATTTTTATTGAAACTACAAACAGTCAAAGGCGAGGAGCCAGCAATGAAGAAACTTAAACTTAATGACAATAGTGATGTATAACAATTTGTTTTTAACGAATGGTATCATGAATGTTACAGAGAAAATGGGAAAAACAAGACGATTTATAAAAACATAAATGTTTTTAAAATTGCAACAGTTTGCAGTATTAAGCTGAAAGCTAAGGCACAAAAAGTAATTATTAATTTGAAAAAGTAAGTGATAAATATTTACAAATTTTGATTTAATGTATGAGATAATTGTTACAAAATTGCACTTTAAATATTGAATATATTTGTCAAGTCATTTGCCTTCTTTAATGCAGCCTAAAATTATCAAAATGGACTTAATATGTTTCTTACTTTATTTAATTCTGTAAAAATGTAAAAATTTGTTAAACACCGATCTATATAGTATAAAGTATGAATAAAAAGTACTTTTGATAAAACATATGTTTCTTTTTGTGCATTAAAGCTTGATTTAAAAGGAGATAAGATACCAAAAAGAAATAAAACATACAGTATGGATCAACTGTTAAAGGAATTAGACCAGGATTTTCAAGCATTTAATGCCAAACCAAAACTTGATACAAAACAAAGTCATATGAAATCCATCCAAATAAATAAATTTTGTTACCTAAGGTGAGCCTTAGGTCCAGCACAAACGGATGTAACGGTTTCAATGATGGAACAGATACAACTATGAAAGGAAAAGGAAAATGAATAGGCTAAATGTATCTATTATAATATAATGTATTTCTATTTTTAATTAAATATATATTAGAGAAAACACTACTTGTACTATATAATAGGAAAATGCTAATTCTTTGTCAATATTAGACACACCTACATCTTATTTTATTATAATTTTTATAATAAATATTACAAAAAGATATATAGTACTTATTGTTTTTCTACCTTTTTCTAAACCACCCATTAAATCCAATATTTACATATTATAGAAGTTTTATGAAATATCAAATAAAATATTGATGAAGAATAAATATCGTAAAAATATTTGATGTGTAATAATTTAAGGAAAAAATATAAATTGCATACTATTTAATGCAGAAAAATCATTAGTAATTTTTGATTATATTTTTTTTCATTTTAGTGAAAACAGAATTTAGAAGCAGTATGTCACAACAGATACCTCATACGTGTACAGCAAGTTTAATTGTCATAGGAGATGAAATTTTACGTGGACAAATAAGTGACATCAATACATCATATCTGGCAAAAAATTTAACTGCTGCTGGAATCAGACTGCAGAAAGTTGTAGTGATCTCTGATATTGTATGTATTATTTCATTATTATTGCTTAACAAATGCATTATAATGCTATTAATAAGTGAAAAATATACAGGGTGTCCTGAAATTCGCGAATCAAAATACCATAGCAAGAATGTCGTCGAAAAATTAAATTAAAAAGTTATTTGCCATTTTTCGTTCCGAGCAGTAGATTTTTTAGATAAAAAGGTTCATAACAGGCCAATCATACATTACGGTTGAACGGAAACCTGTCCGTGAGTCGCGCGTCGATAGTGTTAGTGCACTAAACTAAGGTAATAATTTAGAAGAGAACAATGTACGTTTTGACAATCTTGTCAAATTTGACAATTTTGACAGTAAGTCATGACTTATTAATATTGTTTATTGTGACACAGTTCGTTAAATATTATAATTTTATTACGTTGTCGGCTAGCTTTTGACAAGATTGTCAAAACGTACATTGTTCTCTTCTAAATTATTACAGAATAAATTACATATTCATCTACTAATATTATTTTACTATCCTGATTTACCCGTCCTTGGTCGTTAACCTTCTCATATTGCTTTACAGCCTTACATTTCTTTTATTTGGTAATTAATATAATAAATTCTTTAAAAAATTTACTACTTCAAAGTACCGAGACCATTCACAGAAAGATTCACTAAGTGATTCGTTTTAAGATTTAAATGTTAACGCAAAGATTTCTGAAAAAAACGGATTGTTTAGAAAAAAATTTTACGTAAAATTTTTGTGCTTGTCGAAATCTTCATACATTGATAATGAAGGGAAGTTTGTCTTGTTTTCTGTTTTATTACGATACGCTTTCTTCATATCCCTACATTTTCTGTAGAAATTTCTTAAGAAATAGATTTTTTAAATAATAAAATCATCTGTGTAATCAAATGTTAAAGAATACAATTTTCATAAGAGAATTACAGAAAAGATAACTCAAAATGTAATTTAATTGACAAATATTATCAAGAAAAAAATGTATGTCTATCCTACATAAAAGGACGCACAGAGTTTCGAATCTACAAAGAAAAGTTTTAAATCAATTTATAAGCGAAAAGATTATAGGATTTTTTAGGTGAGCATTACACAGGTCTACACAGGTTTTGTTGTTGGGCAGCTGGGGGTCGTTTCCCAAGTAATTTTCTGCGTAGAATCCGAATCCGAGGTCAGAATTGGCCTATCACGTCAGGATTTTGAGATATTTGAGGTTACATACTCGAAAAATGGCTTTTTGAGCTACTTTTGAGGTTATGTACAGGACGCACAAATTTTTTAGCTCTTTTCTTTTAATTGCATCATTTAGTTCTACTCTTTCCCTTCAAAATGAGCTGTCGAATGGTCATCTACGATTTTTCCTTGCAAAGTTACGGCCATTTTAAGATAACATGATGAATTCCAAACCCTGCGCCGTTATAGCCCAACAACCTCATGAGCATTCACATTAAACCTGTAAACTTTGAACTATAAACCCGAAAACCTGGGCTGAAAACTGTATATATGGGTTTGATGGAGAATCTGAAATCAGATTTTGAAAATTCAAGATGGCGGATCCAATATGGTGTACAAAAATTTTAATTTCGCTCAAATTTGAACTGAGAATTCTCAGTTCTCAGCCCAGGTTTTCGGGTTTATAGTTCAAAGTTTACAGGTTTAATGTGAATGCTCATGAGGTTGTTGGGCTATAACGGCACAGGGTTTGGAATTCATCATGTTATCTTAAAATGGCCGTAACTTTGCAAGGAAAAATCGTAGATGACCATTCAACAGCTCATTTTGAAGGGAAATAGTAGAACTAAATGATGCAATTAAAAGAAAAGAGCTAAAAAATTTTGTGCCTCCTGTACAGAACCTCAAAAGTAGCCCAAAAAGCCATTTTTCGAGTATATAACCTCAAATATCTCAACATCCTGACGTGATGGGCCAATTCTGACCTCGGATTCGAATTCTACGCAGAAAATTACTTGGGAAACGACCCCCAGCTGCTTAACAACAATCATGATCCCATTTTTGTAGACCTGTGTTATTAATCCGTTTTGACGAGAGTTCTGTGAAATTTTCATTAAGAAGAGTCTTCTGACGTGCAAAAGAACATTTTTCATATTATACGGCACGTAAGAATATTGCATGCTAGCGCAGTGCGAATATAGCAATGTAGCGGCGCGATGCGGCGGAGCGCTCACGCACACTACCAGGCGCGCGGCTCACTGACGTGCTTCCGTCTAAAGGACAACGCCGATTGGATTAGCTTTACTCGATATTTACTGCTTCGTTGAGCATTGTAGAAAAAAATGATTCAGGACTTTTTGACTCAATTTTTAGTCAGGAATAACGCTATATTATTAGTGGGCGTTATTTAATTAACACCCTGTATATC